TTTTTACTACTATAATTATTTGGATGTATTTAATAAAATAAAGTTTAATACTATCCCTAACTATAAATAGGGAATTAATTACTAAATTAATTTCGAAGAAAGCTATTACCTTAAGGAATGAAGGGTTAACCCTCTTTATTGTATAATATTAGCGGAATTCGAAGAGTATAAGAAATATATTATAAATAATTTCGAAAAGGGGTTTATTAAAACTGATTTAACGCCATAAGTAGCCCCGGTATTATTTATTCCGAAGGGAAATAGCAATTTACGTTTCTATATTAATTATTAAAAATTCAACGCTATTTCGAAGAAAAACCAATACCTATTACCCTTAATTAAAGAAACGTTAATAAAAATTAATTAAACTAAAATTTTTACGAAAATTAATATCCGGCAAATATTCTATTATATAAGGATATTTCTTAATTATAAGGATTTAACTACCTTCAGAACCAATTTTAATATATATAAATATAAAATATTATTTTTCGGGTTATATAGTAGCCTATTATTATTTTAATAGTTAATTAATAACGTATTAATAGGACATTAGGATTTTTATAATATATATATTAATAATATTTTTATTTTCTCCTAAACGGTATCGGAATATAAGAAATACGTACGAAGAATATTATGAAGGCTACGAAAGGTTAACCTCTAAGCGGATATTAAAAAATACGAATTCTATATAACGAAGACTAAATTTTTAGGGTTTATTATAAGTATAAAAGGTATTTCTATCGACCATAAGAAAAGAAAGTAATTAAAGAATAGAAAATACTTAAAAACTTTAAAGGGATTTAAATATTTTTAAAGTTTTGCAACTTTTACTGAAAATTTATTAGAAATTTCAATTATATTACGAAACCCTTAAATTTATTTACTAAGAAGGATCGAATATTTATTTAGGACGAAGATTATTAATAAATATTCGACTAATTAAAAAGCGATTACTAGAAGCCCCCGTTTTAATATATTTTGTATTCGAAAAAAAGACGTAATTAGAAACCGACGCTTCTAATAGTATACATAGTAGCATCCTTTTATAATAATAAGAAGAAAATAAAAAATAATTGCTAATAACCTTCTATATAAAAATTATAGCCCTAATAGAATTAAATTATTCTATTTATAATGAAAAATTATTAATTATTATAAAAATTATTAGTATTAAGCGTTTAAAATTAAAAAGAAGAAATTTCAAAATCTCTACTAACTATTAAATTTTACAATATTTTTACATTAAGCGCTTTTTAAAATCTAAATAAATTAGATAGTCTAAAAAGCTTTTAAAATATTAATTTAAAATAACGTATAAACTAAAGAAAGATAACCAAACGGCGGATACTTCATTAAAGAAAACGGAAATAGTAAGAATAGTATTATAAAAATAAAATAATTAACCTACCCAAAAAATAGTAAAATTAAAAGGCAAATACTTAATATTTGTAAATAATAAGAACAATACTAATATTACTAATTTAAATGCTATCTTTTTTATAAAAATGGAAGAGCCGAAAGAAGATTACCGGCCCGAAGCGGCGGATAATATAGACCCCGAAATAGTAATAGAAAGCCTCGAAATTATAATTTTACCCGAAAAATTAAATATAGTAAATTTATTATTAAAAATTAATTAAGAAGTAACGTCTTTATTAATATATTAAGCTAAAATAATAATTGGAAATTATAAATACTTTTAATTATTTAATAAGCTATTAATATGCGATAATAAATTAATAATTCCTGAGGATAATAACTTCTAAACGGCAATTTTAAAAGTGTATTATAATAATCTACTAACGGCCCACCCGGGATATAATAAAACTAGAAAATCAATAATTTAGTAATATTAGTAGCTAAAAATATCTTTAAACGTAAATCAACTCGTAAATGATTACTAAATTTATAAATTATCTAAAGTACTACGTAATAAAACCCCTAATTTATTATACCTACTACCCTTTGATAAAGATTATAAAATATAGATTCCGCGACCCTGGCACGGGTACTGCGGACCCTACTCGGCCTATTACAGGACCTACATCCTTAGGGATATACGCCCTCTAGTTGGCTACACTAAAACTCAGATATGCAGGCCCATTTAATTGGTTCTACGCGCCTATTCAATTAGTACTGCGACCTGCATATTGCATTCACATATATTGTTAAATTAAATAAGAAAGGCGGTAGAAGCTGGCAGAATCTGGGCTTATCCTATATAAGGGTATATACTAGAGCTTCATTCTTAACCTCTCCCTCTTTCTTTGTTTAACTTTAATTATTTATTTATTTATACCCAATTACGTAATACGGAACTACGTAAGCTAATATATTATAATATTTAATTAAAATTTATTTACATCCATTTAAGAAGGTAATTAAAATCCCTATAAACCCCAAAAACCTAATAAGTCGCCTCGTCGACTTCTTAAATTCCGAACCTTATTATTACGTCGATATTACGAACCCGTTATTAAACCTAATATTCCCTTATTAATTATAACGAAAGTTAACTTCTATAGCTAATTACGCTTAGGATATGCCTTCGGGCCGCCCTTTCGTCCCCGATAACGAATAACCCCCCTATTAAACTATTAATTATAGTAAAAACGATTATAATGATATTAATACCTCCTTCAAATAGTAAGACGATATTAAAGAAGACTCCAATTAGGAAGATAAGGACGATGATACTTCTTTTCGTATTAAAACCGACGACGAATTATTTAATAAATTGGTTGTAAACTCTACCCCTTTTAAAACGAATTTACGTAAAACTTTTATCGATATTCGTATTTTTTAAAATATTTTACTCCTTATAACCCTAAGAAGGAAATGCCTGCTAAATTTGCAATACAATTTAAACGTAGTATAAAATATATTCCTAAAATTAATTTATTACTTAACCCTTATTGTACTATAGTTCTGATTGAACTTAATCTTAGTTTTATATATAAGTACGTACCTCCTTACAAATAGTATACTAGTAAGGAGATTTTTTATTATTATATTCGATTAAATTAAGGCGGCTTCGATAGTATTTCTAATATATATTATAATAGTATTACCGCCCAGAATTCGTAAGTACGCTGTATTTTTATCAGCGCCCGTAAGTTTAACAATTATATAATCGATTTATTAATTAAATCCCTATCCCTCTCCATAATCTACTTAGTAAGAGAATAGCCTTAATAAAATTTAATTAATAATTTAATTATTTATATAGATAAATTCTATCCGTTAATTAAAATACGTTATTATATTTTAATAGTAAACGGAATTAATGTTAATAGTATTCATTATATTAATTTATTTAGTAACGATAATAAAAATAATAAGAATAATTGTATTATTAATTTCCGCCTTATTACCTAGTTTAGTATTTAATCTTATATTATAAAGGATTAGAATAGTCCTTTTACTTTTTAAAAGTTTCTTACCCTATTGATTTAAAATTTTAAAGTTATATAGGGTAAAATTAGTACCTAAATTTACATTATAGAAGTATTTGTTAGTATTATTAAAGAAGTTACCCAAGCTCTATATTATATTTACGAAATTATAATTAAGATAAATAAATAAGTTATATATTTCGCTTAAAAGGTTAAGGAGTATTAAATTAACGTAAATAATCGTTTTAGAGTTGGTAGTCCTGACGAATTAGTATTTATTAAGGAGATAATTAAGTTAGAATAGAAATTTATAAAAGCCGATAAAATGAAGGACGATTTAAGTAAAATTATTTAAAATCTTCGATTTAAGTATAATTACTTTTGTAATTAATATAACGAGTAAAGTAAGTTTTTTGAGAGGGCTATCGATATTATTATTAAAGTAATTAAAAATACTATCCTATTATACAAAGAACGCGCCCGGTCTTAAATAAAAGGTTTTAAGAAGGATTATATTAATGAGTTTAATTATATATAATTTTAATATACTATTAAAGTATTTTACTTCGAAGTGTAGGTCGATAGTTTGAAGTGTATCCTTACTTTAATAAATATAACGGAGGAAGAGTTGGACGTTATTAACTTAATAAAATTAAATAAAATTAAGGAAAAAGTTATTTTTTAAAAGTTTATTGAATGTTCTTTTAATATTATCCTTTTAATTAATATAATTTACTGCGTTTGTAAAAATAATAAATTACTTAGTAATAATAAATAACCTTCGAAGATTCCCGACGATTGTCGCTAACTTTCGAAGACCCTATTATATTATTTTAGTACCGGTAATAGCGACCCTACTAACGATAATAATAATCCGGATAATAATAATAGTAACAACAATAGTAGTAATTCCCTTCATTTTCCTTTTAACGGACCGCCTCGTTTTAATAATTCTAGCCCCCGTAATTATAGTACCCCAATAATTTATATTTATTTAATAGTAAATATTGTAAGAGTAAGACCGCTAAGGTCAATATATTTACTTTTTCTAGTAAGGAGGGAGATAAATTCTCTTTCGATATATAGTATTTTTAAATATATTATTATTTTTACATTAACGCTAACTACTTTACCAACGATAAAGCCGCTTTCAGTAATATTATTTTTAAATTATTTGAATAAGCGTCCCTTTATTTTTTTCTTTTTATTCGTCCTAATACTAATAAAGTTTATTTAAAAATTATTAAATAGTTTATAATTTATTTGTAGACTAATTATTATAGTTTTATGATTAATAAGAAGGCTCGTAAGGAATATAAGAAGTTAGTTATACGTTCTAACGAGTGTTTTAAAAATTTTAAAATTACTTTTATTTATTTAGTTAATTATTATAATATTTTTGAAGATTAATAGAAGGTAGAATTCCATCATAAAATTCTAATATATTTTCGTAACTTCACTAAGGCTATTTACTATTTAAAATATATTTACAACGAATATATTAAGTTATTATAGAATTTTAATAATAATTTCCATATAGGATAAGGTTAGAAGGATAAAAATAAAAATAAAAAAACGTTTATATTTACACCATTTAGTTTTAAAAAAAGATTTAAGGACGTTACGTTCGGTCTACCCTATAATTATTTACCCGGCTCGTCTTTCCTCTATAAGAAACTATCTGAGGAGGAGACTTATAAATTCTATATTGAAAGTAGATATTTTATTTATTATAAGCCCGGCTATATAGCCCTATAATACCACCGTCGTAAGAAGTTCTATAAAGCGGTTAATATAAAATTTTATATTATATAGGCCGAATTATTCAACGACGATATTAAATTAATTAAAGAAGAGGAAGGCTCTAATATTATTATCAAGAAGAGGATTCGGAAAACTAAACCGCCCGGAGAATTAAATTTCCTTTCTAGGCGAAGTATTAATTAGTATATTAATATGAAAAAAGGAACACATTAATATGTTTGATTTATAAAATTATTTAGGGAAGGGACTATCTTTCTTCGTTAAATATAGCGTAATTAATAATAAATTATCTATTTCTACCTTTAATATATTTATTAATACGGGAGTTAATATATGTATCATTATAAATTAAAAATTTGTTAATAAGTTATATAAATATTTAAAATTTAAATTAAATAACAGTTTTCTATTAGGCTATATTTGACCTTATAAATTAATTAAGTTTAATATTATTATGAAAGCCCTACTAGGCGCTATAAAAATATAAGGATTAAAATTTTTCGATTAATAGATAGTAGTATTACTTATAATAACGAAGGATATAATTATCAGAAGAATATAGTTAATTAAAAACAACGTTCTATTTAATTATTATAAGAATTAATTTATTTTCCCCGAAAATTTATTTAAAGTATTTAAAAATTATAATATCGAAGTAAATAAACGTCCTAAATTAATTAAGGATTCCGCTTTCTAAAATAATATTAAACAATATAAGCGGTTTATAATTATAGAAAATAAGTAAAAAATAGACGGAGCGTTATTATAGGTCCATTGCTTAAAAGAAAAGGAATTTACTAACGAGGAAGTAATAAAGGAAATGATACGATTATTACGGAATTATAGGAACGGATAGAGGAAGTAGCGAAGGAAATGCTAAAATAGCAGAGGAAGCTAAAGTAAAGGAAAAAGTTATTAAAGAAAGGATTAAAGAATTAGAATTAGAAGAGTAGGAGATAAGGAAGAAAGAATTAAAATTAGTTACTAAGAAAGATTTAGAGGATACTATAGAGGAACGGAAGTATATTAAAACCCCTAAAAGTGAATTACCGTTTAATTTAGCGACCGATAGGGATTCATACGGCGAAATACTATAATAAAAATAACCCCTTTATAAAAATTAATTAAATAGAGTAGTAATTCTTCGACGGTATTAAATATAAATACACTTTTATAATAAAAACTTCTAAGATAGAATAATTAGTAAAAGATATATATTATTAAAATAAGGATTTATATTCCTATTATAACGTTCAGGTTCCTTACTAAATAGAATGAAAATTCAGTTGGACTAAATAGCACCCCCGCAATTACGCTATAGTTAATGCGATTGCAATAGATTTTTACGCTAAATATATTAAAATTATCGAAGAAATAAACTTATATAAAATTACCGGTTTAATTAAATCTTTATAGACCCCGGATATACTATTAGAAGATAAGGAGGAATACCATTAGTTTGTGATGGATAAATTCCCTAAGAAGTATTGGAATCGTATTAATATATTTAGTAAGAAGGATTTTGATACGCTTTTAGAGTTCAAAGATAAAATTAACTATAAGATTAAATTCGAAGAAAATGAATCCCCTTAAGATTTTAAAAATAATTCGTTATATAAAATAACGTTCGAGGACGTGGAAGAATATAGATAGTATATTATTAATAATTTTTAGAAGGAATTTATTAAAGTAAATGTGGTACTATAGGTAGTACTTATACTATTTATATCCAAAGTGAATAGATCTTCGTTTTTACGTAGATTATAGAAAATTAAATACCCTTTTTAAGAAGGATTAATACCTATTGCCCTCAATTAATAAAATACTCGTTTGAATTAGTTAAATTACAGTTTTTACTAAGGTTAATATCCGGTAAGCGTTTTATTGTATATGTATGTATTTAGATTACGAAGACTTTATTACTTTCTATATACGATATAGAGTATATACGTATGAGGTTTTACCTTTCGGCCTAATTGGAAGACCGTTATTATTTTAACGGTTTATTAACGAAGTCCTAATAAGATATTTCGATAATTTCTATAGCGCTTATATCGACGACATTTTAATTTATTCCGATAATTAAGAGGATTATAATAAATGTATCGATATAGTACTATAATATTTCGAGGAAGTAAGGCTAGAAACTAATATTAAGAAGTGCGAGTTTAATATAATTAAAATTAAATTTTTAAGTTTTATTATTAGTACTAATAGTATTTTAGTAGATCCGGAAAAGGTGGTAATTATAAAGGATTAGAAGGTGTTAATCACGGTAAAAAGTGTATAAATGTTTTTAAGCTTTTATAATTTCTATTAGAAATTTACTAAAGATTTTAGTTAAATAATTAAACCGTTAATAAATTTAATGACGAAGGATTTAGCTTTTAAGTAGGACGATTGTTGCGAAGAAGTTTTCGATATTTTAAAAAGGAGTCTCTTTAGTATGCTAATATTTTATTTTTTTAATTACGAATAAAAAATACGAATTAAAATTAACGTTAGTAATAGAGTATATGCTGGGGTAATAAATTAATCTAAGAAGACGGCGAATAATATTTAGTAGTATTCTATTTAGAGATGATAAATTTAGCCGAATTTAATTACTTAGTTTATAATAAAGAATTAATGGCCGTAATAAAGGGTATTGAGTAATGGCGCTTTGAATATAAGAGTATTAAATTATTTACGATATTTATTAATTATTAAACTCTTAAATGTTTTAGTACGAAGAGGGTCTTTAATAGTAAATAAGTTCGATAATTTAAAACCTTGTTAGAATATTAATTTCGAATAATTTATTAATTAGGTAAAGATAATATAGTACTAAATATATTATTACAGAAGTTAGAGAATTTAAAGACAGGTAAAGATAAAAAGGAAGATTAGTTTACCTTACGAATATTTAAACCCGCCGATGACGGATTCTTTACTTTCGCCGGCGATAAACCTACGGATAAATTAGAACTCTTAATTAATACGGAGGGGGAGAATAAGGGGGTTGGAGTTGAGATCGCCGAGATGGAAGTTGGTTACGATTTAATAGACGAATTTATTTAAGTTAACCGCTTAATGGAATTATTATCGATTTATAGGGAGAAAGCGAAAAATAAAGGTTCGTCCTTTATTATTAAAGACGGACTATTAATTAAGGACTATAAATTGGTAGTCTTTAAAAACGGTAATTTACGAATTAAATTTATCGAAGTAATATATTGCCTAATTACTTTAGTACATTTAGGTAGAAATAAGACTAAGCGTATGGTTTATAAGCGATATTAGTAAGTAGGATTAGTTATTGATATAGATCGATATATTAGTAATTATTAGATTTATAAGCCTTTAAAGGCTCTTAAAAATAAGACTCCTAGATTATTATACTTAATCCTCCTAAAGGAAGATTATATAGTATAGAAGTCTTTAGTAATCGATTTTAAATTAATATTATTAGATTATTACGGTTATAATATATTAATAGTTATTATAGATCGATTTATAAAGGTAAATTAGAGTATACTTTATAGAAATATTATTATAGTCAAGGATGTAGCTATATTATACTACTGAGAATTATACCGCATTTTTAATTTACCCGACGAAGTTATTAATAATTGTAGACTATAATTCGTATCCTAAATAATATAACAGGTAACTTCTTTATTGAATATTAAATAGAAGTTGGCTACTTTAGGCTATTTATAGACGGCTAGTTAAATTGAAAATTTATATTAATATATCGATTAATAGTTATAATTATATATTAATTATAATTAAGATAATTGGTCCGAATTTATCCTAACGCTAGATATAGTTTAAATAAGCTTCCTTTATAATAGTTTGGATAGCTTATTTCCTAGAGAAATTATTATAGGATTCCTTATGTTTAGCGTATTGGATTGGGAAGACCGTATTAAATTGAAATTTCCTAAGATTAAAATTAATTACTAAGAGGTTTATTAGTTGATCGATCGGTTGAAGACTTTCTATATAATTGTACGCTACGCTATTGATAAAGTATAATAGTAATAGACGGTTTAAGTTAATGAATATAGGAAGGAATTGGATTTTGGAATTGGTGACCGGGTTTTTATTATTAAAAGAAGATAGATTACGGACCGCTTTAATAATAAATTCGATTAGCGCTAAATTAGGATCCTTTATAAGATTAAGGTTATATAAGGTTATTCGTACGAATTGGAGGTTTTAAAGAGTTAGTGAAGTGCGATTGTATATTACGTAGATTGGTTACGAAAGCTTAAGGTAACCCGTTATTAGAATAAAGTAACGAAAACCTAGTTAGCGAGCTAATTGATGGTAATTAGGAGGAGTAGGAGGTTTTAAAGGTAGGTTTTTCGAAGGTTATTAGAGGGAAGTTGGAATACTAGGTAGAATAGAAAGGTTGGAATCCCGATTTAGAGTTTTGGCCGGCGAATAATTTTATTAATTCTATAGAGTTATTAAAAGATTATTACGAATAGAACCCGACGATACTAAAACTGTTTAAATGTTTAGTTTAATAGTTAGTAAGAGATAAGAATATTTATAATAATAATAATAAATTGGTGAAGGGATTATAGATCGGTTTGAGGAGGAGAGTAATGGTGAGGAAGAAGTAGGAGGATATTGGAAGAAGTGTTCGATTCTAGTTTGTAACGAAAATTTTTCTTTTCTTTTTATTTTATTTTTTCGGCTCTAGGGCTGAGCCTTAACCCGGGGGGGAGGGTAATATAATAATATAGATTCCGTAACCCTAGTATGGGTATTGCGGACTTTATTTGTCCTATTATAGGATTTATATCTTTAAGGATATACGCTCTCTAGTTAGCTATTCTAAAACTTAAATATATAGGCCTATTCAATTGGTTCTGCGCGCCTATTTAATTAATACTGCGATTTGTATATTGCATTTATATATATTATTAGATTAAATAAGGAAGGCGGTAAAGGTTAGTAGAATTTAGGCTCATCCTATATAAGGGTGTATATTAGAGCCT